GCATTGATTAGATTTTAAGCCACTGTCATACATATGTAGCCCTCGAGCATACGGCAATCAGCAACCATAATCATCATCATCGTCTGAGTCAATGGCGGCACGTCTTCGATCATATTTAACAGTTGATTTACTCTGTGGCATTTGAGCGTTTATACTTTCGAGAATACTTTTAAATTGGGTATCATCAAGTTTACCACGAACTTGACCCATTTGTGCCATACGTATGACCATATTTTCGAACATTTGTGCCTTTTCAGGTTTACTTATTTTTAGTGTATTCACTGTGAATAGAAAAGGAATACCGATTCAAGGTTAAATATATGCGAATATTATGATTGCAATATGTACTCACGTCGTGCGCGTGCCTGCTGGTCTAGCACTTGCGAGAGTATAGAATGCTTCATTTCCTCCTGCTGACGCATCTGCTCCTGTTGGGCTTGTTGCTTTTCTGCATTGTTGCCACCGCTGCCACCCTACAAGCGAAAAACTATTTTAAGTAAATGCAATTTATTTTCCGCTTTTGATAACTCTTTACTAGAGTTCAGGAGAGGAGTTAGGGTTTTAATTACGGTAACTACCGGTCCCCTATTCTATTTTTGGTATTCGCTTACACTTTGTCCCACCAACCCGTTACCTATAACCGGCACCTGTTTGGACTACCGCACATCGTTTGCAAAGATCAATACTTACATATTGCTGCTGTAATTGTGCCAAACGCTCAGCTCGTAAAGCATCCAAATCATTGTCTGCCATTATAATTCTTTAATAGATATTTCTTTGTTTTTAAATCGTAGAAAAATGGCAAAAATAACCACACTAGAAAACTGATGGAAAATGCTCCGATTGGGTTAGTCACTTTTGACATTTATGCAGTGATGCCACTCATTTATAATTGGTTGACATTATTCTGGTACGATTTGGGACTGAAACAGTAGAGACATTCTTTTGCAGCAAAGTTGTAAAGCGCTAATTAGCAAAAAATCTTTAGATTCTGGAAGATTTTGCCTAGTAAATTGTGTTTTCGTATCTATTTCTGGTTTCTGTTGTTGTTGTAACAGCATACTTTTTGGGGAGTGTTGCTGGAGTGACAGTCCTTGGCCAGATATAAATCTGGGACGTTCCGGTTACGTAGACCCGACTGTCGTAGGAACGCTCTATTTTTGGTCGTCAAGTCCGTACGAAATATTGGGCCTCATTTATAAAATGCTCCGACTCAATTTTCAGTATAAATCCACTGCATCAGTGCGAAAATTGAGTCTAAGCTTAAGCTCACCCTTTATGCATAAGGACCATTATCTGTGTGTGCAATAAGTGGTTATATTCAAAACCCCAATGACTGCATATGGTTTAGGAGCCTGTTGTAGCATCATTGCTCTACCCCCTGAATATCTCTTCTTTTTCTGACTAGACAAACCTGAAGCCGAGAATGCGAGCGACGTTGATGTGTACAGTCTATAGTGCTTCAGTCGTTGGGTTGTAGATCTAATTCCATGGGAAGAGGAGTTATGAGAAGTTTACGACTACTGAGTTTAACGAAGATAGATGGCTATTAAGTCTGTAACACCATCAGTTGTATGGACCACCGAGTCTTTTTTGACAATTTCCGGTCCCCGTGATGTCATTCAACCACCAGCATCTGGATTTTGGCGTGGGGATGATGCTTGGACAGTCTGAGAGGCCTGCTTGTTGCCGTTTTCGACGATTTTTCCACTGCAAGCCTCTTGTTTCTGCCGACCACATTGGCGCTGCATAATTCACAATCGAACGGCCGATTGCTTTCCCGTCAAGCTCAACTAACAGTATGCTCAAGAAACGAGCTATGTAGACGGGATTATACTTCAGATGGAGGGGTGTTAGCTGAGTGGGATTGAGGTAACATTTGAAGAGATGGTTGGTGTCATGGGGGAGTCTCCATATGCCAAACACTCATCGGGGATATCGGGGTAGGGTCTGGACCCCGATTCTCTATGAATATCGTAGATCACTCCTCGTTACGTCGTCGGGTCCAAAGGTTGTTCAAGGGTTTGGATCACATCAATATATTCGAAGTGATGCCTTCTCATTCTCACCATAGCTGGTTCTACATACCGGAATTACTTGGGTTTTATCCGACCAAGGGCCGTTGTTTCGGCGATCCAACCCCGTTTAGGTCGGCGAAATCCCTCAAAAGTTGTACGCCCATTGGGCTACATCTGCTTCGCATACTTCTGCTCAGGACTGGCATCAAGTCAAGCCCTGGGCCAGAAATCTGCACCTGCTTCGTGTGCCAGAGACGACTATACCATAACTCCATCTCCGTTGTTGTTGTTGTTGTAGCGGCACTACACCTCCGTCAGGTGCAACGCTTGTAATCGGTGGAGTCACCTTCGAGTTTGCTCAGGCCTTACGACTTACAGGCATACGTGGCCCCTTGCTGTTCAAACCGAGGTTCATAAAACAACCCCTGGACCCGACAGCTTACCGACAGGCCTTGAACGGCATTCACAGAGTCAGTCTCGAGTTATATTGACTCTCGACCTGTGAATACCCTTCTGGGAACACAACCACCAGACGTGGACGAGACAGAGCTTCGTCTGCCTCGGGAGACTTGGACCACAACAGATGAAAGAGCAACTAAAATGACAACAGAGGAAACGGTAGGAGAGGAACGACAATTCTTCAACAAAATAATACGACGATGGAGACGAAACCAAAACGACAACAGGGGAAACTGTAGAAGAAGAAACGACAAATCTTCAATAAAACAATATAGACGACAACAGACGAAACAAACACGACAAAAGACGAATCTGTAGAAGACTACACGACAACTTTTCAACAAAATCATGGAGAAATAATAATCTGTTCAACAAAATATAAAAGCAACTTCGGCGAGAGCTAAAGAAACAACTTCTAAAATGACAGAAGAGGGTGCAACAGAAGAAACTCGAAAGACATCATTAGACCCGGAAGAAAGGTAGGAGTCTCAAAATTTTTAAGTTTTTTGTTCTTAAATTAAGTTTTTTATTAAACAAGGCTATATTTGTCTGGGAAAAATTAACTGGCCATTGACAATGATGAAGAGGGCGATACGAAATAAACTTGTTTCTATGGGCTGGATACTGTGATACTTATTTCATTTATGTAAACTTGAAATATCATTATTAATATAACTAAGTCATGCAAGTGCATTTTTTTAGGTTTGATAAGTAGAAACATACATACATATAACTCGGACGGGTATTTTACCTAAATATAATTGCCAAGGAAAATGGTTACGAAGAAGGCAGATTTTACTGGAATGCGTTCACAGAAAGTATGTACGGGCTTGTAAGGCTTATAAAAAAGACGTTTTGAGTTTTTAAATTTTAATTAGCATTGACCGAACTTCCGTAATATGAATGGAGTAAAATTCTTTTGAGTCTTATGATTTAAATAAAAAAGGTACTATTATAACTTAAAAATATAAACAGATAATGCTGCCGTGGAATGATATAATAGAATGGTTTTAATAAAAATAAGCTAAGTGAATCATACTTTTAGCTAATAAAGCAAGAATGTGGTGCTGCTTAAAAGTAAAATACTTCTATTAAAATGGAAAATTATGGAACACTGCATCTTTGGAGATAATTTTAATAGGTTTTAAGCTAGGTATTATGAAAAGCTTTCCAATGAAATATGCTGCCATTGACCCTGAAAAACAAAATTTTGAAGTAAATTGTTTAGGAAATTGTTAAATTGCATACCGGTATGCCCAAATTCCAACCGGCACCTGCTGGATTCTCCTTGGTTATACCACAACGTTTACAAACGATGCCATTTTGTGCAATCGCCCAAACTTCCGTGCCTACAGAGACCGATTTGAAACCGATATGCGTCTCAGTATGTGGAGGAATATTTGGCATATTCGGCAAGAATTGCCAATGTGAACCCTCTGGGAATGTTTTAGTTACTTCTTTGCGCACAGCCAGGCGATTGTGGTTGTCTAAAGCCCAAATACCAGCGTGCCCCACAGATACCGTGCGGAATGTTGTGCCAGGAGGAGTTTCCACCATTTGCCAAGCTTCACCTGTGTTTATTGAAATGATATAAGTACTGCTTGGATACATTTATATAAGCACCAGTGAAAGGTATAATTAAATAAATAATTGCACAAGTTTCAGAACTAGTAAGTGCGGAATTCTTCCGTTGCTTATGTGCGGGGAATTTTCCATTTATTATGGAAACATACATGTGTGTGTATGAATACAAACGTAACTCACCCAATGGATTGTGTCTAGTAATGCCATAACGAAAATATATCATGCCATTTCGTCCAACAGTCCATACTTGTCCCGTTGGCCCCACGCTAATTGCGATCAAAGGCTGTTCACTTGGTATGTGTTCCCAACTATCACCTCGCGCATTTTGTTGCGTAACGCCATGCCGTATCAATACATCCCCGTTCGATGCCACTGCCCAGGCGCAGACGGGCAAATCCTCCCAATCGCTTAAACTATTAGCGCTATC